CGGCGCGGGCTGGGACCCCCCTAGCCGGGCCCGCCCCTTTGGGGCACCGGCCGCTCGGGGCGGGGAGGCAGGGCAGGCCGAGACCCCTGGGCTGCCGGGGCGGAGAGGGCTGCGCCCAGGTCCGCCCGCCTCGCCCTTGTCCCCGTCGCTTGGCTCGTCCGGGAGGAAGACACCTGTAGAAAGTGCCGCTGGGAACTTCTCTCCGCCTGATCCGCCCGCGATTGCCGAACTTAGGTTTGGGGTTTGCACAGCAGTGTTGGCGTCTGAGAGCGGGGGAACAGGTGCCCGGTCCGGCTGGGCGCGGGGGGCACCGCAGGTGGAAACGGAGTCCCCGGGCCCACGTGCAAGGCGCCTGGCGGGGGAGGCTGGCGACGCGCTCTCCCGTGACCCCTGTCCGCGAGCGCGTCACCTCGGCGGCTTAGCCCCTGCCATCTGGGCTCCCTCCCTGCCGGCCCTTTGTGCCTCCTAATCCCCGGGCGCAGGAAGTCCGCGGGAGGGACTTCAGTCTCGGGGCCTTTCTCCGGCCCGGGCGGCTTTGGACACCTTTAGGCGACGGTACGGAGACCCAGTCTGTTTTCCATGCTGACGGGCGGGGGCTGCGCTGTGGGACTTGGCGAGGTGTCTTGCCAGAGTGTCTTGGCGGGACGGTTGGTGGACACCCTGGGCTTTGACTGTGGGGAGAACTGACCGTAACCAGGGGGACCGCGATGTGGCCCTTTGAGGCTCTCACCTGAGACAGGTGAGGTGGGCGGGGCTTCGACTCAGCGCCCATTCCCTTGGGCAGATGGAGGCCGCTTTAACCTGGCCTCAAGGGACGCTCTGCAGGAGATAGTAAGTAGCTCAGGGTCTTGTCAGGCTGCAGAGGGGATTCCGGGTAGGGATGGGGGCTGGGAGGGAAATGAGTGTGTCAGCGACAAGGAAACCCAGGAGGAGAGCTCAGCCAGCCCAGGGGAGGCCACGTCCAGACAGTCTGGGTCTGTGTGAGCTGCGGCAAGGAGAGAACTTGGGAGAGATGGTTCAACTTCTTTATTTTACAGGCAGGGGATTTGTGTTTGGTTTTAAATGATCTGCCTACAGTGCTCCCTTGTGGCAGTCAGGACTCAAACCCTGCTCTTGGGACTCTGACCAGAGCTAGCTCCTCTTCTCCGAAGTTAGGCTGGGCCAGTCTCTTTGGGGACCACTGGATGAATTTCTAGGGTCTGGGGTCATTCTTCATCCTTCCTCTTTCTTGAGGCAATCTCCCCTTGGGTGACAGATTAATATAATTTTGGTTACATTAAAATAACATTTTGGGGGCCGGCCTGTGGCTCACTCGGGGAGAGTGTGGTGCTGATAACACCAAGGCCACGGGTTCGGATCCTATAAAGGGATGGCCAGTTTGCTCACTGGCTGAGCGTGGTGCTGACAACACCAAGCCAAGGGTTAAGATCCCCTTACTGGTCATCTTTAAAAAAAAAAAAAAAAAAAATTTAGTAATTTTTTTCATACACAGCATTAAAAGCCAAAAAGGCCCATAATCACAGGTGACCCCTGTCCATTTAAAAAATAGGAAAGGTAATAGGAGCCCATGGTTGGAAAAATGAAACATGTTAGAAGGTGTAAAATAAAAGAGGAAAAATGTTTCCTTGCCTGACAGTCTTTTTCCTCAAACATAATGTTTGCGAAGATTTTTAGTGTCTTTCCAGACATCTGGCAGGTGTAGTTTTGAATCATGCCTTGCTGAGGTCTTGCTGTGTGTTAAAGATGTTGATGAGAGAATGCGAAATGTCACGGACATGTGTGGCCTGGCACATAGCAGGCGCTGCTGAGGGTGAACTCCTTAGCTTCCCCAGGAAGCATGAAAAGTGTCTGTCACTTGCAGGCCTTTGGGCAGGCACCTGGGCCTTTTGAAAGTGCCTGATGGGTTGAGGGAATTTGTCTTCTCTGGAAGTCGTCAAGGGGGTCATGATTTTGTGATTTTTAAAGTCTCTGGAAGCCAGAACTTAGAAGTAGGGGGACAGATAGAGGGCGGAGGCCTGTCTTGAATGGGCATTGTGAACGGGCATCCTGGGGAGAACCGGCAGTGTGGGTTGATGGGCAGACCACAGCCGGGGTCTTTCCTGAGGTGGGGATGGGTGGAGAAGGCAGACTCTCATCTGCCCTGCTTTCTGCTCAGGGGGAGGGCTTGCTGTGTACGCTCTACACCCTGTTGGGGGGCAGGGGAAGGGAGCACATTCCTGGGCTGCTCTGTGTCATTGACGAGTTTCTCTGGGAACTCCACAGTGCCTCTTTGCGACCTTGTATGGGGAGGTGGTGCCTCCTGCCAGGAAGTCCCCAGGACCCTCCCTCTGAGAGAGAAATTGGTGCCTGGAGCTAGGAAGTTTGGAGCTTCCCCATCAATGGTCAGTGGCCGCTGCCCACCCCGCAGTTGCAGACACTGAGCATCCCTGGCAAGAGCCTCCAGGAGCAGTGGGGGGGGGGGGGGTTAGTTTCCTGGGAGGTTACTCAGCCTTCCTGGTCTTTCTAGACGAGTCAGAAGCAACTGTTGAGACACTTGAGTTGGGGGCCGTCCTGAGAGACCTGTTCTTGCTCCTGCTCCTGGGCCGGCCTCTGTGACTCACTTCTCCTCGGTGCTCAGCTCTGAGAGACCCTCTTATCTCACCAGGCGATATCGCTGTCAGGGCTGCTCCTGGGCCCAGGCATGCCGGCTCTGCTTGGCAACTTTGTTTTCCTCTGCCCAGGAGCAGTTTGCAGGGAGAAACAGGGTATAGGGCAGGAGATGGGTGTCTCCAGTGGGGCAGCACTGCTTGCCCTCCCCAGCCCTGGCTTCCTAGGATCCCACAGAGACCCTCCTTTGCTGTGCCCTGTAGCCGTGGGCCTTGCCCAGGTCCCTTTGGTGTGGCATCCCCCCTCCCCAGCCCTGCCTCTTTGAAGTATCCCTCTGAGAGTCACCCCTCTCTTTCCCCTTCCCAGGAACCATGGTGAATTCTTGAGCTAGGAGAGGCTTCTCTGGGTGTGGGGACAGGGAAACTGCTAGGTACCTGACTCTACCCTTCAGGAATTCAGCAGAGACCGGAGCCTTCTCTCAAGACTCCTGACCCAATGTTCCCAGGATTCGATGAGAGGTACATCTGGGCACAGGACTACGTGACCGTAGTAAATGATATTAATATTTAATAATATTAATACCAGAATACTGGGATTCTCCTTGCCAAGGAGCTGGGTATCCTGGAGTCTTGGTCTCAGACAGGGCCCACAAGGGTATCCCAAGCAAGATGCCAGGTATCCACATGGCCCTGGTAATGGCCAGAGGCTAGAGGACAGGGTAGGGAAGCTCCCTGAGCCCCCTGTGGGGCCCCACCTCAATGTTCTTTGGGGTTAGTGACTGGAGAAGACCGTGCCTAGTGAATCCCTAATCAGTCCTACCTGTTTGCTTATTCATTCAACAAGTATTTACTGGTGGTGCCTCTTGTGTGCCCTGCATGCTCTAGCCACTGACATATCCTTAAACAAAGCAAAGCTTTCTGCCATCGTGGAGCTTCTCTCTAAAGGGTGGGAAACATGCGTAACGAAGAGTCAACGTAAGCTATAGGGTAAGGAGAACTGGCACAGGGGATTGGGAACCCCAGAGCGGGGGCAGATTGCAACTCTAAAAGGTGGTCAGGGTGGGCCTCAGCAAGGAAGTAACATTTGAGCAAAGAGT